ACACACACACACACACACACACACACACACACACACACGCGCGCGCGCGCGCACACGAACACACACAAACACACACAAACACAGTTCATCGGCAATGAACTCTACTGTCTGAACAGATTTTTCATTGCCATTAATTACTAAACGCGTTTATTATTATATAAGCACGCCGTCTATTATATCAAGCGCTTTTCTCGCCCACACTAGCGCCTGATTTGGTTGCATTTGTATAAACACTTCTGTTTTGATAAAACATATTGATCTAGCACAAATCCATTCGTTTACATACTGGATACGATGTTTCTGTAAAGCACTGAAACGTTGATTGAATGTGTATAGAAAGCTTTTTTTACGTAAAAGGTGTACGCGTGCATGGTGCAGACTGCTTGTGGCCGTATTGCTTCCGTATTCCGTATTGCGAGTTATATGAGGAGTTTGGTGGAGAGGGGGGAGAGGAAGAATGCGGAACAGCCATGGAAAGAGGGACATGAGCGGAGAGCGTTAGAAGAGAGAGGCGTGGGAAAGAACAGGGGGAAAGACAGGGGAGGGAGGCCGAGAGAGAGTGAGAGGTGTGGATGAGAGGCAGAGAAGAGGTGCGAAGTAGGTGCGGCTCGGATGAGGCAGAAGGAAGAGGCGGGGGAGAGACGAGGAAAGGGAAATGGGGGAGGGGGGAGTTTTCGGAGAATATAGGAGAGGCAGAGGATATGTGGCAGATAGTAGGGGAAGAGGTAGAGTAGAGGCAGAATGGAGAAGGTGTAGGGGAGGGACAGATGATATACAGAAGATATTACAGGAGATGCGAAAAAGGGTAGAGGGAAAGACAGCAGAGAGTAAGGGGAAGACAGAGGAGAGACAGCAGAGAGTAAGGGGGAGACAGAGGAGAGACAGCACAGAGTAAGGGGGAGACAGAGGAGAGACATATATACGAGATATCGTGGTGAGACACCGGGAAGAGTAATAAGGGGAGAGTCAGAAGAGGGTATGTGGAGAGGAAGAGGAAACGCACGTAGGCATAACTTATAACAGAAAAAAACCATTCCTATTGCGCATATATATATATATATACATACATATATAGGTCATCGCACTTCCGATATCAGTCTCTGACCCATTTTAACTATTAAAGCGAGATATCGTTATGCCGACATTGAACAGCGTTCGCTACATATATGGACACGTACACGCACACTTACAACGTTCGATGCATCACGGGCGAAAAAAAACTCTCTCGAACCAAACGACCACCAGAACATACGCGCCTCTCTCTCTCTCTCTCCCTCTCTCTCTCTCTCTCTCTCTCTCTTTCTCTCTCTCTCTCTCTCACTTTCTCTCTCTCTCTCTCGCTGTCTGTCGCTCTCTCTCTCCCTCTCTTTCTCGTTCTCTCTTTCTATATATTGTTTCCCTCTCTCCTGTCCTACGTAACTCTCTCAACAGGTAGTGCGTGTTTACGAGATAATGCCCATGCCTGCATACTCCCAGTGCATCCAGCCGACATTCTGTCGTTTTAACTCTCTACGGCTCCATTAGGAAATACATCATTCTTACAGATTGTCAGAGTTGTCGATGACTGGAGCAAGCGGTTGAACCCGCGCTCTGCCTTCTCTGATCGATTACAGTTTTATATTCCATGCGACTATACATATATATCTATATATATGTAGATATAGATATATACATATATGTATATTCGCATAGGGTATAAAACTGTAATATATATTTATATATATATATATATACGAAGACGAAAATCTTCGTCAGGAGGAAAAGTACCGGCTTTCGTCGCACTGAGCTTTCCCCCCGGTAATGTGACGAATGACACACTCTGAATGTAGAGTAGATATTTCCTCATGCGCGAAACCCTCGCGCTGTGAAAGCAAGAGTGTCCGTAACAGCAGCAGCAGCAGCAGTGTCGGTAACAGCAGCATCAGAAGCAGCAGCAGCAGCAGTGTCGGTAACAGCAGCATCAGAAGCAGCAGCAGCAGTAGTAGTGTTCGTAACAGCAGCAGCAGCAGCAGTAGTAGTGTTCGTAACAGCAGCAGCAGCAGCAGTAGTAGTGTCCGTAACAGCAGCAGCAGCAGCAGTAGTAGTGTTCGTAACAGCAGCAGCAGCAGCAG